TCGTCGTTTGAGCAACAGCGGACAGCGAACCATTCAAGAGCAAGTGTGCTTTGAAGTCAGTGTGTCCAGTGTTGGTGCAAGGAGGAAGGAGTCAGGTTAGGTTAGGTTAGGTTAGGTTAGGTTAGGTTAGGTTAGGAATATAATAGTAAATAATAACTTTTGAAAATACATAAAAAACAACAATAAAACAATGATGAAGACAAAATGATTGAAAAGAAAGAGAAACGAAGAAAAATAACACAAGGAAGAATAAGAATACAAATAATAAGAAGAAAAAGAAGAAAGCAGACCAAGAGGAAAAGAAACAGAAGAAGAGGAAAGAAGAGGAACACAAGCAGGAAGAAGAGGAGGAGGATGCAGAGGGTAAGGGGTGTTAGGGGGGATGGTAGGATGGGGTGGTGGGATGGGATGGTGGGGTGAGGGGGTGAGGGGTGAGGGAGGTAGGAGGGTATGGGGGTGTCCTAAGGAACAAGAGACGTGGCTGGGTTGGTCCGGCTAATGAATTGCTCCATTGCACAGAGGATAACATCGACCCAGCCAAACCAAAACTGAGATGAAGATCGAGAGATGGTGGAGGAGAGGCTGCTTCTGCAATCAAGAAATGGCCCAGGTTTTGTGAAGGTGTGTGGGGGGAGGTGTGTGTGTGTGTGTGTGTGTGTGTGTGTGTGTGTGCGTGTGTAAGATACGTAACCTGAACAAGTATGAGATGCACTCGTTAGCTGCGTTAGTGAGTGAGTGAATGATCTGACTGACTACTGACCGACTGACCGAGTGAGTAATTAGGAAGTTAGATCCTTAAAGGTGTGTGTGTGTGTGTGTGTGTGTGTGTGTGTGTGTGTGTGTGTTGAACTTACCGATAGTGAAGGAATTATGTGACGCGAACACTAAATTATCGCTCTAAACATCATTAATCATCGTTCAAAGTTTCAGTAGAGATTATATGATGAATAACAATAAGGGAAAACTGAAACAATAAGAAATAATGAGTGAAAAATATTGATATGAATGTGGCAGAGGAAATATAATGTGGATTTGTTCTGTGTGTCTGCCGTTAAGAGTACTCGAAGACTGTCTGCCGTTCCATCAAGATTGTCTACCGTTCCACCAAGACTGTCTACCGTTCCACCAAGATTGTCTACCGTTCCACCAAGACTGTCTACCGTTCCACCAAGACTGTCTACCGTTCCTCCAAGACTGTCTGCCGTTCCTCCAAGACTGTCTGCCGTTCCTCCAAGACTGTCTGCCGTTCCTCAAGCTAAGAGATACATCCCCCCCCTCCCCTCGTATAGTGACCCCCTCCCCCCTCCCCCCTTCCCCCTCCCCTTTCCTGGTGTTCAAATATTCTTAAATTGGTCCTCGGGGGAGATTCTCTCTCTTTTGATTGGTTGGGTTTAAGCCTCATGGTCCATAAACCTCTCTTTTGATTGGTTCTGCCAGTATCACGGTCTACCAATCATCAACCGTTGACAGATAACACTAGTCCCCCCCCCCCTCCTCCTCCTGACGTCTTTCTAATACTTTCTAAGGATCTTTCTTTCTTTCTTTCCTTTCTTTCTTTCCTTCTTTCTTTCTTTCTTTCTTTCTTTCTTTATGGTGAAAGTCATTAGAGAGTTGTAGGAGAGGAGGTCATTTTTACCTTTCAGTTGAGATACAAAAAAAATTGCTTTCTTTTAATTTACAGGTAGAAAGTAGTTTAACCATTCCCCGTAAGTTATGATTAGAAAACAAGTTACCTTTCTCAACAAAAAAATTTAGAAAGCAAATTAACCTTTTCTGTAGTTAAATGTAGCAACAAAAATAGAGTTACTACTACAGGGGGAAATTCTCTGTTAATCTCTCAACATCTCTTCGTGTCTCTACAAAGTCTGTGAACTGTACTGTATGTTAAGGAATAGTCATTATTGTATAAGTAAGATGATCACAGATGGATTATATAGAGCTGCTGACGCTTTTAAAGTGGAGATGTTATATGGAATTACTGTTTTTTTTTCTGTCAGTTTGTCTGTCTCTTGGGTATTACCGTCCATTAAATTCGTATTCTCTCTCTCTCTCTCTCTCTCTCTCTCTCTCTCTCTCTCTCTCTCACACACAAACAAAACACCCTAACCTAATCTAGAATTAAACCCAGTCATTAGAATAAACTCTAGTCTCTCTACATAACTATAATATAACACAAACTACATAAATTATACAAAGGCATATATAAAAAAAATATATATAATAACAAAAAAACCCGAAAAATTGCGCCAGGACACCGAATGAAAATAATGACATGGAAATATAATAAGAAAAAATAGCCTCTAGTGCTTGTTGCTAGTAGAGTGTAGGAGCTATTTCATCTGTCCAGGAGGTTGGTAGTGGTGGCACGAGATGGCGTTGTCTGAAGTCACTGTGGTCTCTGGCTCGCGTTTTCTCTCTCTTTCTCTCTCTCTATCTCTTCACCGACTGGGCTATAATGCTACTACCCTTCTCTCGCTTTAGTTCAATCGTTTCTTTTATTCCCTCTTTATCTGTCTTTCTCTCTCTCTCTCTCTCTCTCTCTCTCTCGTTCTCCCATCTCTTGCCTTCTTCAATTGGCCATAAACATTATATTGAAAGCCATTGGAAACATATATTGAAATTATATATTATACATACCTTTAATATACCATTCGTAGATATACATACATACATACAT